GATGACGACGATGGCGACATGGTGATTGTGCGGTTGCTGATGGTTGTGGTATGATGATGGCCATGGTGGCGATTTGGATGCTGGTTGTGATGCTGATGGTAATGGTGATGATGGTGACGATGGCAATGAAGATGGCGCTGGCGATCACGATGATGATGACGCTGGCGATGGCGATGATGATGATGATGATGATGTTGATGATGATGATGATGATGATGATGATGATTGTGCCGATGGTGGCATAGATGATGATGGCGCTGAGACGGGCGATGGCGGTGATAATGAGGATGATGATGACCATGATGAGGCTGATGGCGACGAGGCGGACGAGGTGGAGCAAGAGGAGGAAGAGGAGGACGAGGAGGAGGAAGAACAGGATGACCCTCTCGTGTGAGACCTCGTCTCTGCAGGCGTGGAAGTGTTTGGATGAGGGCGATGAATCGCTTGATGATGGCTGGGGCAATGGTGATGATGATACCGCTGATCATGATGGTGGTGATGACGGGGATGTCACATATGACAGTAAGTATGGTGTTGGTGATGATGACGATGACGATGACGATGATGATGACGATGACGATGACGATGACGATGATGGTGATGATGATGCTGATGCTGATGCTGATGCTGATGATGATGATGATGATGATGATGATGATGATGATGATAGTGATGATGATGAAGACGACGATGGCAAAGATGATGACGATGACAGTGATGATGACGAAGACGGTGATGGTGATAATGATGGCGGTGATGACGATGGTGACGATGACGATGATGATGCTGCTGATGATGACGATGACGATGCTGACGCTGATGATGTTGCTGATGACGATGACCCATCTCTAGTAGGATTCTAGTAGAGCTGGACGCAGCCCACAGGATTCTTAGTAGAGCTGGGCGCAGCTCCAGTAGGATTCTATCAGAGCTGGACGCAGCTCTAGTAGGATACCGGTAGAACTGGGCGCAGCTCCAGTAGGATTCTATGGGGCCTGGACGGAGCTCTAGTAGGATTCTATTAGAGCCGGACGCAGCTGTAGTAGGATTTGATTTGACCTGCACGCAGCTCTAGTAGGATTCCAGTAGAGCTGGACACAGCTCTAGTAGGATTCTAGTAGAGCTGGACCCAGCTTAGTAGGATTTTATGAGAAGTGAAAACGGCTCTGGTAGGATCCTGTTCGATCTGGGTGCAGCTCCCGTAGGATTCTATGAGAGCTGGACGCAGCTCTAGTAGGATGCTATTAAAGCTGGACGCAGCTCTAGTAGGATTCGATTCAAGCTGGACCCAGCTCTCGCAGGATTCTAGTAGGGCTGGGCGCAGCTCTCGTAGGATTCTAGTAGAGCTTGGCGCAGCTCGAGTAGGGTTCTATGAGAGCTGGACGCAGCTCTCGTGGGATATTATTAGAGCTTGGCGCAGCTCTCGTAGGATTCTACTAGAGTGGGACGCAGCTGTAGTAGGTTTTATTTGAAGTAGACGCAGCTCTAATGTGATCCCAGCAGAGCTGGACGCAGCTCTAATAGGATTGCATTAGAGCTGGACCCAGCTCTACTAGGATTCTATTACAGCTGGACGCAGCTCTAGCAGGATTGTATTAGAGCAGGACTCAGCTCTAGTAGGATTCAAATAGAGCTGGACGCAGCTCCAATAGGATTCCAACTGTACTGGACACAACTCTAGTAGGATACTTCTAGAGCTGGACACAGCTCTGATCGGATTCTATGCGAATTGGACCCAGCTCCAGTCGGATTCTATGAAAGCTGGGCGCAGCTCTAGTAGGACCCCAGTAGAGCAGGACCCAGCTTTGGCAGGATTCTATTAGAACTGGACGCAGCTCTAGTAGAATTCTAGTAGGGCTGGACGCAGCTCTAGTAGGATTCTATTTGAGCAGGACCCAGCCCTAGTAGGATCCTATTTAAGCCCGACGCCTCACGCAGCTCAAGCATAATCCGAATAGGTTTGTTGTAGGAACTCGCTTCGGTGGCGCGCACATCCATGTTCTGCTGAGAATTCAACTGGGAGCCCTTATTGTTTCGTTTCCACTAGCTTTTGGTGGTGCGTGTTGCGCGGTTGCGGTTGGACCCCCCCCCTCGCATCTGCCAGCACGGGACGCCGGGGATGTGGTACCGCGACCCCAGGGTATCAGAGACCCGTCCTCGCCTTGTTGTTGCTGCTGCTGCTGTTGTTGTTTTTGCCGGATTCTCGCGTCTGAGGAGTACATTTTGTTGATCCCTCCCCTTCGGTGATCATCCGTGTTTTCCAAGCAAAACTGGCCCCCCTGGGGCTCCCACTATCATTTTTATGAGGTGGAGGCTGTGGTCACCAAACTGTGGCCATGGCCCCCCGGGGCTACCAACAACAGCGAGTCACGCCTGATGCCTCCTACCGATTTTATTCAAAATCGCGCTCCCGCGCGGGACGCCCTCACAATTTATGCGGGAATCGCGTTCTCGCGTGGCCGCGCCTTCGACTCTCAGGAATTGCGCTCTCGCGGTGGTTTTTCTTTTGATTTACCTGGGAATCGATCTATCCCTCGCGATTCATGCAGCATTCACGCCTTAGCAACCCGCCTGCTCGACCTGGCCGCCTGGGCCCGCCTTCCCGACCCGCCCGTTGGGCTTCCTGCGCCCATCTGTCTCGCTCCCCCTTCCATGTTTCTCTTGCCTTAGGGGGCTACACCAAGTACGCTTGGCAGATAAGGAGGATATACCCCAAGGTGGGTCTGTACCGAGGGTTTGGGAATACACGTTATGAATGGCACGCGAGCAGGTAAGAGCGAATAGCCTTGAAATGATTGCTGTTGGCGTTGCTGAGCTCTCACTTCTGCAAAGTATGTATTGTTGATCCCCCTCGGGTGCCCATCTGTGTTTGTTGTTTTTCTACTTGAAGTGCCCGTCCAGGGGCCCGCACTTTGTTTCTGTTCAGGAGGGGGGCCTGGGGTCTCAAAACTGCACCTTTCGCCCTCGAGATACTGCAGCAACGGCTCTCGTTGGATATTTCTCCGCAACTCATTAAATAATCGCGGTCGATCCCGTTCGGGATTTCCGGACCGTTTACTCAGGAATCGAATCGTGCTTTCGCGGGGGACGTCCTCCCGACTTATTCAGGCGCCACGCCGTCGACGCTCAGTAATCACGCTCTCGCCAAGGACTGCCTGACGATTTGCTCAGGACGGTCCTTTGCTATGAATGAAGGAGACGAGCTCTCGTTCGAGACTTCCGTGCAGTTTGCCGAAGAATGGCGCTCTCGCTCGGGACTTCCTCGCAGTTGACCCAAGGATCGCGATCTCGACCAAGACTTCCTTGCGATTTACTCCGGACTTTAGCGGCCCGCTCGTCCGACCCGCCCGTCGGGGCCCGCCCGCCCGACTCGCCCCTTGTGGCCCGCAGTCGCAACCCCGCCCGCCCGATCCGCCCATCAGGATCCGCCCGCCCCGCCCGCCCGGGTCTGCTTCTTGTTTTCGTGCTCCTCTCTCTTCCCCCCTCCTTGCTTGTTACTCTCGTCCTTTAACTCTCCTCCTCCCTCCCCATTTCCCGTACCTCCTCCGCCCCTTCCGCCATTATCTTCCTCCTCGCCCTTTTCCTTTCCCCTTCTCCCCCTTCCTTTTTGAAGGGTTGCGCCACTACTGCGTTGCAGGTAAAGAAGATATGCACCAAAAGGGGGTACGTTCGAAGACGAAGAGGGCGGGTTTCGAATTTATTGACATGCGTGCAGGTGCGAAAGAAGCGGATTCAATGTGTCTGCTGTTTTTTGTGATGACCAGGAGGATGCGAATGGTAATGACGATGCTGACGATGTTGCTGCTGCTGCTGCTGCTGCTTCTGCTTCTACCTCTGATGCGGATTCCACTGAAGATGATGATGTTGCTGATGATGATAATGCTAATGCTGATGATGGGGGTGGGGATGAGGATGAGGATGAGTATGAGGATGAGGATGATGATGATGGTGATGATGACGTCATGACGATGATTGTGCGGCTGATTATGAGGCCGCTGCTGATGACCACGACGATGGTGATGACGACGATGACGATGATGATGATAACGATGACGATGACGATGACGCTGATGATGATAATGTTGATGCTGATGACGATGTTGATGATGCTGATGATGCTGCTTCTGCTGATCATGACGAGGATGATGTGGATGATGGTGATGATGGTGATGATGCTAACAATGCTGCTTCCGCTGCTGCTGATGATGATAATGAGGATGATGATGATGACGATGGTGATGATGATGATGATGATGATGATGATGATGATGTCTATGATAAGGATAGTAATGATACTGATGAGGAATGTGATGATGATGCAAATGATGATGCTGATGATGATGACGATTATGATAATGATGATGCTCAGTATGATGCTGCTGATGATGCTGATGATGATGCTCTGATGGCGATGATGCTGATGATGATGAGGAAGGAGGGGGAGGAGGAAGTGGGAGGACCATGAAGAGGATGAGGAGGATGAGGATGATGATGGTGATGCTGCTGATGATGATTCTGATAACGATGATACTGATGGTGACGATGATGAGGATGATGCTGATGATGGCGATGCTGATGCTGATGATGATGTTGCTGATGCAGATGCTAATGATGCTGATGATGATACTGTTGCTGATGATGCTGCGGATGATGATGATGATGATGATGGTGATGGTGATGATTTTGATGATGATGCTGATGATGCTGCGGATGATGATGATGATGATGATGATGATGATGATGATGATGATGATGATGATGATGATGATGATGATGATGATGATGATGATGATGATGATGACGATGAGGAGGAGGAGGAACAGGAGGGACTCTGAGAAGTATGAGGAGGAGGAGGAGGAGGAGGAGGAGGAGGAGGAGGAGGAGGAGGCGGATGTGGAGTTGAAGGGAAGAGAGAGAGATGAGGAGGGAGAAGGAGGAGGCAGTAGCAGCAGCGGGCGTAGCGCCGGGGTTGGCGCTGGCGCGAGTGGCCCGCGGCGCAGGATCAACTCGCGCGGCTGCTCAGCTGGCGTGTATGAGCCGCGGGGAGCTGGAGGAGCTGTTGCTGGCCGCGGCCTTGCGCGACGAGGGGTTGCTGGCGCGCTTGGGGGGGGCCTCTCCTCCCTCCTCGGGAGTGTTGCCAGAGTGGCCGTTGATCATTTCTTTCTACGGATGGCAACGTGTTGGGTCTTCATAGTCTTCTTCGCCAATGTGTGGTGCGTGCCTATAGGTCTTGAACTGTTGAGGCGCCCTACCCAGCAGCAGGAGCACGCTGACTGGAGATCGAATGCGTAAAAGTGCCCCTTCCCTCCCCTTCTAATCCTTCCCACCTCCATCCCCTCTCCTCCTGCCCCTTTCCTCCTCCTCCCTGCCCTTCCCTCCCACTGGCAGCATACTTGTTCGTGCGATGCCCACTCGAAAGCCTACGACGCTGCTGGAGTCAGCTCGCGCGGGAAGGCGGGCAGTGGCAGCAGGGAGCTCGTGCGAGAAGGCGGGCAGTGGCAGCAGGGATTGCCAGCGGACCAAAGCAGGCAGCTGGGCCCAGTCAATGCGAGAAGGGCAGGTAATGGCGGCACGCGTTGTCCACGCGAGAAGCGAGGCGTACAGCGACCTCATCGGCTTCTGCGCTGGGGCCGCCCGCGCCAGAGGAAGGACAGCCCGCGCGGGCCAGCCTCACCAGCTAACGAGCACGGGCCAGTTCGCGCGAGTGCGTCGAGAACGCGCGAACCAATGTCACCAGCTACAGCGGGGGGGCCAGCTCGCGCGAGAGGCCCCAGGCCGCGCGAGCAGCGCGGGCGAGACCGCGGGCGGTGGCAGCAGGCACTGGCCTGGCGACAGGGGCAAGCAGTGGAAACAGGCGGTGACGCACCATCAGCTACACGGCTGGGGCCAGCTCGCGGCACCATCCGCTGCAGTGCTGGGATCACCCCGTGCAGGGCGGCAGGCAGTGCGAGAGGGCAGGCAGTGGTAGCAACGGTTGTCGGTGCCCCATGTGTCAGCGGGGACGGAGCCTCGTCGCCCAGGAGAGACCTGATGCTAGGGTATGCTTCGCTCGCCACGGCGATTTGGGCATTCGTGCTCGAATCCCTGGTGCCTCCTCCTCTTCTTCTTCCTCCTCCTCCTTCTCCTCCTCCTCCTCCTCCCCACCCTTCCCATCCTCGGACCTCAGAGCAATTCTGGAGGTCCGAGGAAACCTTCAGCCTTGCAGGAATGTTCAGAGATCTCAGGAGCAGGGGGTGAGTAGTATGGAGGCGGAGGGTTCAGATGAAGAGGAGGAGGATGATGCTGCTGCTGATGATGAATGATGCTGATGATGCTGATGATGATGCTGCTGATGATGATGATGAGGAGGAGGAGGAGGAGGAGGAGGAGGAGGAGGAGGAGGAGGATAGGAGGAGGAGGAGGAACATGAGGGAGAGACGGAGGCGGGTACGACTAATACATTCGAAACGTGAGGCAGTCAAGGCCATAAGGGGGGGGGGCAGTCCGACTGGCGCGCTGCACAGAACCAGGCAACACGAAACACACGAAACCGAGCGTATGATAGCACATCCCGATGTGAAAGCTCAAGCCGACCCGCACAACGGCGCACGCACGTGCAGCGTGAGATGTGGCTGCGGTTGGCAGGTTCTGCAGCCATCGTTCGAGACGTTAGACATGGCGCACGAACACACACAGACGGACGTACGGTCGTGCCGCTCTTGCGACGCCCTTAGCTCGTTGAGAAGGAGGAGGAGGAGCAGGAGGAGGAGGAGGAGGAGGAGGGGCTCACATGTCTTTCCTCGGCGGCGGGCCCTGGGGGGGGAGTGATTGGGGGCAGGCCTTCTCGGAGGGCCGCGGGGCTTCTCAGAAGAAGCCGCCTCTGTCTTCGGAGAGGGAGTCGGAGAGGGTTCAGATAAACTTTCCGCAAGGCCTGAGACCTTCCGAGTCCTCTGAGAAGGCCCCTCCCCCTCTGCATTCCCCCATGGGCTCGCCGTCGAGACGAGGAGGAGGAGGAGGAGGAAGAGGAGAAGGAGGAGGAGGAGGAGAAGGAGGAGGAGGGGAAGGAGGAGGCAGAGGAGGAGGAGGAGGAGGAGGAGGAGGAAGAAGAGGAGCAGGCGGAGACGGAGGCGGAGGCAGAGGCGGAGGAGGAGGAGGCGGAGGCATGGGCGAAGTGCCCCGGGGCTGGACCATACGTGTGCCGACTTGAGCTTCGATCGATGTTTGCCTTTTTCGGGGCGGTTTTCGCCGGTGAACGCGGGGGTGATTTGGCTGCAGGTGTGTCTCGCCAATCCGATTCCTGACAGCTGGGTGGCTGTGTCTTCGGTAACATCTTCCTCCCTCTGTTCGCGGATGCAGCCGTCCAGGTTTTTTAGTGCATGGGTGCGCTCGTCGTGCTGCGCGTCTTAGACTCGTTTTTTTTGCAGCTGGTGGGGACAGGATGATGTGCTGGCCACCCGTGCGCCGAGCCGTGCAGCATGTGGGGTCTTGGCTTCCAGAGTGGGCGCGGCGGCGGCTTGGCGGTGTCTACGCACTCGCGCGCGGTCCTTGCGCTCGCCCCGTGCTGGGTGCGTCTTCAATCGAGGTTCCTCCATGTATCCTTAAGTCCGGCCTGTCCCTCTACAGGGGGAATCTGCAAACATAATAGAAAGTAGTCTGGGGACATTTTTTTGAGTATTTGTTGACCATGTTGGAGTATTATATTTTTTTGTTGTTGTTGATTTTTTCGTCGAAGATCCCCCTGTAGGGGGACACGCCCGACATAACACTATGGGTTGCTACGTGTTTGCGTTGCGGTCACAGTCGCACTTCGCTGTCGGACGAAGCAGCAGTCCCACCAGCAATTCTTTGGTACTAACAGAGTGTGTTTGTAGCGCTTTCTCATGGATCCGTGTTGTGAGGCCATCCGCTGGAGTCCCTGTGCAGCACTCCGCACAGAATTCCGAGCGCGAGGTTTTCTAATCGAATCTTTTTGT